AGTTCATTGCTAAATTCAATGGGATGTTTAAAGAGGGACACACCCAAGATTCCCTGAGCGCCACTGAAATAAACATTCTAGAGGTTTGTTTTCAGATTTAGTAGTTTTCTTTTCGTGTACCTTGATTTTATTTTCTAACAGGACACACATGTTTTCTTCTTCAGGTTGGCTCTTCCCGGTGTGTGTCTGCAACAAGTCCTTTTGTTGAACGAATAAAAGTAACTGGCACCTTCATATCAAATGAACATCCCAATCTTTGGCTCTTCCCTTTCTTTCAAATTTTGAGCCTACAGTATGCAAGAATATTATCATATATACACTCAAAGGAGACCAACAAATGGGCATCCGGCTTTAGAAGTACAAGAACATAGAAAAAGCAAGAACATCTTATATATAAGTTAAAGCAAGGAGATCTTGCTGTGCTGGGTTGGGGTTTATTGCTCTTGCCATCTTATTACTTTTCATTCTTCCCTTTCTGTTCTAAAAATATATAAATCATATATATATACACATATATAATAAATCAAGTCATTAGATATATCTAGCTCCATTTCAATTCATTATGTCTTTACCACTATTTTTTCGTCTAATTCTTTTGCTGGCATAAGATTCTTAAATAGAAAAAAACTTGCTTTGATTCTTTTGGTTGATTGGTATGTTCTGTTCATAGTAAACAAATACAGCAGCAAGTATTGGATCAAAGCCCATGTAATGAATACATTTAAAGGCAAATAATGTGTGTGTGTGTGTTTGTACTGAAAAGAAAGTCACTACTGAAAGGGGAAAAGAAAATGGACATACAACTCTAGAAGTACAAGCAAAAGAAGAAAAACATGGACCTACTCCAAGTTCTTTGATTTTACAAAGAAGCTAGCATCTATGCAACAATTGGTCTCTCCAAGGCTACCACCCTATTGATAATTTGCAGTACATGCAAAACCAACCAGAAAATTTCTATCTTGAACTCATTAATTTCATTTTAGGGGATTATATAATAAGATTAAAAAATATACAACTTAGGCACGGTAAAGCTATGCCCAAAAAATCTTTGTTTTCATTTTCCAGAATGGTCAGATTATTTGTTTTCTAATTCTACAAGGATCGAAATAAAAATACTGAAAAAAACTAATAATTTAGTCTATGAATACAGACTAGGCATATTTGATATGTTTAAGATGACATATATCAGTCACTGTTTCAAACATAATTGTTAAGTTGGTGAGTGTTTCTTTTTACAAAAGTTAATGATTGTTAGGAAAATCAAAATGTTACCTGGAGTACAAGTCACCTATAATTTATTCTGAGACTTCAATATATAGAGCATAGAGAAAAGTAAAATACATTTGATTTCATTTCAAGAGATTATAATTTAAGATTAAAATATATACTACTCCGTATTTTTTTACGAAAAATATATACAGTTTAGGCAGATTTTAGCTATGCACATAAACGATTTTATTGAATTCCTGAGTTTGCATTATAATTACTAAGCAGATTTCATCCCAGTATTGTCACATTAAGCAGGTTATACCTATCTTGAAGCATCCAAATATATTTTCCAAGCATCAAAACAATGCAGAAAAGACCTTCAATGGCATCTGCAAAAGAAAATTGAGACTTAGTTAACTTCAAAAAATATTTCAAATGGCTAATTTAACTAATTTATAATATACAATGGTTTATAACATACTAATTTCACAAGATTTAACTTGCAGCCATATGTGTAAAATACACAACCTTCCATGTTTATATTTAACAAAAAATGAAAAATAATACTAAGGTTCGAACACATAACATGTACGGAGTAATACTTTTCGGAAGTAAAATATTGGAAATGGATTCAAAAAAGAAAGAAAAGTTGCTGGATTGTCATTTGACATACATATACTTTTTTTAAAAAAAATGTAAAAATTAAAGTTAACTTTTTTTGTTAAATACTTAAATGCATACACTTAGATTTGTTAGAAAAATACAATGCGCATTTGTGTGTCTAATTAAACTTCCAGATATAATGTTTTAGTATATGAAATCATTGCATGTATAATCAAATATCATGTTTATAAAATAAAAACTTTAGGTAATATGGTAGTAATAAACACAGATCTTATAGATCTGTAGGTAGTGAATGTCGTGATTTGTCTAGAAGTCTAATTGGTGGTTTTGAGAAAAGATTTAATTAGTGAGATGGTCGTGTGTAATAGAGAAAGTGTGTTCTTATCGCTTTTATAACACTTAGAGCGGCAGAGGAGGCGGAAGTGGTGGAGGATGCTTACAACCGGTAGGTAGATTCATGACAGCGGCAGTATACCTCGGCGAAGAATCAGAGCGGTAACGGCTGCGTGAATGGATTTGACCGGCCGTCGGTTGAAGTTGTCTTTACTCTTTATGGTGGAGCATTGGTGTGCTTGGTTAGACAGGGCTGCCCGATTGAACGGAAGAAATGAAGAGTTGAGGGATTTGCTTATGGTAGAATGTGGTTGTGGTTGGTTTCACAGAGGCTGGCTGAGTGGCCTTTGGGTCGAAGGAATGCAAGGCTATTCTAGAAAGGGTTGTATGCTTTAATCATACAGGCCTGGATGTGAAGGCTGTCTTTCATGGGCTTCTCACTCACAATTAATGGGCTGCTCTTAGATACATGGTTAAGATATGGCCAAAATGATCACAACGGGATTACTTCTAATTGTTTAAAAACAGCTATCCCTAAAGATTTAGATTATAGTTAGGGACATTTAACTTTAAATCATATCCCTAATAATACGAAATGAATAATTTATGTTTTAATATAGTCAACTACTTACAATGATAGCAAAAGTGCTATTTAGCTTATATGCATATTCTTAAACTCATACGATGCATCTCTTTAAAATTTATACTACCACCATGCCGGTGGACTTTGCCAAGTGCAATGTAGGTGAGAAATAAGGATAGTAAAAACTGTGTGGTTGAGATTTGTGCAGAGGAGAGAAAAATGTGCGGAACCACAAATTGGTCGCTTTAATTGGAAAGTGGCAAAGTTTTTTGGGACAACTAAAAAGGGAAAGTTGGCAAAGTCCAATAGGACGGAGGAGTGAATTTCAACGTCTTTTTACACACTACCTCTGTCTCTTAAAACTTTGCCAAAGTTGACGGACACGTAGAATAATAAAGTAAAAACTGTGGTTGAGGTGTGTGCAGAGAAGAGAAAAATAACAGAAACTACATAACAATTGATTAACAGTAAAAACTGTGGTTGAGGGACGTCCCAAAAAGGAAAAATGACGATGTTTTAAGGGACGCAGGGAGTATTATTTTTATGTATCGTATCGAACTTACATATTTCACACGTTATTGATGTCAATATATCAATCTAGGACCTAACATTTTATTGATTTTGATTTGTTTAATTTTTTTTATTAATTCCATTTCTAATATTTGGTGATTTTTTCTTCACAAAAGCTTATTACTTTAATAAAACTAAATAATGCTTAGATTTTTCTCAAAAAGACTCATGAGAACTAGGTTCTATATTGATAGTTTTCAATCATTTGGGTTCTTGATTGATAGTTTTCCATCATTCGGTCATGTATTGATACATTTTCCTCTTCCAGGTCACAAATTGATAATTCATTTATCTTTCAGATCCTCAAATGATATTGTTCACAAATTAAATCCAAATTACATAATTTAGGAACAAACTCAGGACGGGTTCCATTTGGATGGCGTTCACTTCTCTTCTCCTGGATGGCGTTTAATAATGCCATAACACACTTTTACATATTTGCACCCCCCCTGATTTGCCAATTACCCGGGTAATTTGTGTAAAAAAAAAGCAATTCGTATAAATGCATATTCACCATATTACTAGAGATGTTTATACTTAGACTTATTTCACTCTCAGACCAAACCAAACTAACCATGACTCAACTAACACTTTTTTCACAAATTCATATATGAGTATTGTTTAATAATGCCATAACACACTTTCACAAATCTGCCCACCCCCCTGATTTGCCAATTTACCCAGGCAATTCGTGTAAAAAATGCAATTCGTGTAAAAAATGCAATTCGTATAAATGCATAGCCACTATATTACTCGAGATGTTTATACTTAGACTTATTTCAGTCTCAGACCAAACCAAACAAACCAGGACTCAACTAACCCTTTCTCACAAATTCATATATGAGTATTGTTTAATAATGCCATAACACACTTTCACACATTTGCACATTTTCACACTCTTTCAATAGTATATCTATTGTGTAGTTATGTACATTTTTTAGGAAAGAAATCACCAACCATGCAATAGACGATTAGTCAATGAGATACAAATGTACTATGGTTGTAGATTCATTTATGTGTGCGAGGCTGCTCAACGCATATTTGGGTTTGATATTCAATATAAGACCTCGACAGTTGAACGTTTGAGCTCATTTGCCGGAACAACAAAGTGTTGTCTTTCGCAATTAGCCTATGGATTCATTGGTGTGAGTGCTTGACAAAAAGTATTAATTCCTAGATTGTCCTTGACGCCATCCAATGCAAGCTTGCCTTTCAAATTTAATAGGCGACAATATCCTGTTATGACTTCATATGTTATGACTATAAATAAAAGTCAAGGTCAATCTTTATCCTGTGTTGGGTTGTTGTTGAAAAATCGGTATTTACCCACGGACAGTTATATGACTAATTGTTGATGAAGATGGAGGAACCACTGACAAGACTCAGAATGTTTTATTCATTTTAGTGTTCAACAATGTTTAGGTTTACATTAAATGCATATTTACAATGTTATGATTTCAATGTATTTGTTGGATGTTTTTTATCTTTTAAGTAATGCTTACTACTCTCATTTTGACCAGAATATTGTAAGTGTGTTTCGTTTAATGTTGTGATATATATATATATATATATATATATATATATATCAGTATTACATGAAGGTAGAAGTTATCATTAATTGATAGTGCGATTTGATATACTAATCACACGTAAATTTGAAAGAAAAATTCTCAAACCGTGCATCGCACGGGTGAGTTTACTAGTACTGGATAATAGGAGTCTTGTTCTCATTATCTAAGCTCTTTCATGGAGGCGTCTTCAGTCTACGGAGCTCGGAATTCCTTCCATTGTGCCAAGGAGAGCTCAGCTGATTCCACCGCTCAAGGTGCTATCTCAATGCACTTAATGGCAGAAAGATATTGTACTTTTTATTCGTCCTCGAAAATGACGCACTATATCCACATATAATGCTGCTACTTTCTCAAAATTGAATTTCATGATGGCAGAAGATTTTTGTGAGCCATCTGAGGAACTCTCAGAGAACGAAGACAAGTCTGAGGTGCGTATACTCAGAAAACAATACGTATGCATATTTAGTTGTATATCAATATGCTTTTCTCTATGCAGGCTTATCGGACTATATGAATTTATGATGATGATTAATAAACAGTGTAATGAAACTAAAAAAGATTCGAAGAATTTCTAGTTTCTTATTTCTTAAAAAAAATATGTCCCGAATTTCCTTAATCTGCGTTGGCTACAATACTAATATTTCCCAGTGGCTTGTTATGCAGGTCTATATGGCATGTGTGATGAATGGTCATAGGTGAGTATATCATTCTGCTAGTAAATGGTAAAGGATAAGGCAACCATATAAACTATTATACCTCTACTGTGTCTCCAACTTCTCAAGGGAAACATAGCATAATAGTATAAGAGATTGTCTCTCCTCCATTTCCAACTTAGTCAAATACTCAAATGATTGTTTGTGAGAGATTTTTATTGTCTGACCAAGAATTCCTATCTAATGGAATTTACATGCAGAATTGGGGTTTCCTATTATGACTCCAGCATTCGCCACCTCTATGTAATGGAAATTTGGGAAGATGGGAGTGAATACTTTCCCCTGGTTGATATGGGTATGAACTCTTACTTCATTGGAAGCGCTAGAATTTGCCTGCTCATAGGATTGTAAATGCTTTTTTCTGGTGGATGATTAATCTCATTCAATATTTTGATCTTTTTTATCTTATGTTTTTTTATTATCTTTTTATCCTTTTTATCTTTTTTTTTATATCTTATCTTACCTTTTTATGTTTTTCTTCTTCTTCTTCTTCCAATTTTATCTTTTTTAATCTTTTCTACTCTGATTTCATATGTCGATTCATGTTAGCCGACCCCAAACTTTTTTAGGACTAAGGCCGGGATGTTGTTGTATAGGACTGTAAATGCTTAATGTATCATGAAAGCTTGCATGCACCAAATTGAAATATACAAGGGCTGCTTTTCTCCAATGTTTTGTTGGCTTTCATCATGAAACCACTAGGTACTAAAACATTCAACACCATTAGCACCAAGCCACTATTACCTTATTCTCAACTGGATCAGGATCAGTGGCATGAAACTTATACCCGCAGCAAATTGTATGAATTTGATTAACACTCTAAGCTCACACAAAAATGCTGAGTGACAAAGTTTATGTCAGATGTGCTTCGTGTTTAACTTTCTTAAGCAGGAACAACAAGATGCAATTTGAAAACCGTCATTGTCATTGGCCTCTTCTATTTGCATGGAAAGTATCACCAGACCAGGACAAGTTGAGATGATTTCTATAGTCATGTCCCAAAATTGATATTGTATAATCCACATGCTTATCCTGATGCATGATTTTGCAACACGTTTGTCACGTGTTAGAAATCATGGAAAAAACATGCAGGAGGTCGTGTGGTTGATTTCCACGGAAATGAGGGTGATTGACTTACCAACGGGGATTTGGATTCCAACTATCTTTGATTCTATTGTTGGTCTGAGTTTTGATTTTGTTTCCTTTTGAGAGGTTTGGTAATTTTGGTAGGATGCTTTGATTATTCTACTTTCCAAATTATGAAGTGAAAAATGCTTGTAGTCCCGAACTATATAATGGGAGCTTAGTTTCACTTGTAAGCATGCAATCAATAATTAACAAGAAACAAAAGTGAAGGAAAATTTCCAAATACAAAAGGAGAAGGAAAAGTATTAAACATTCCATTGCCCCTTTCTTCATCCGTTCATTTCCATATGTGAGAATCCTGGTAAATAACATTTCACTTGATGTTTGATGTCTTTTCTGTATTTTTAAATTCAGTTCTGTCTCTGTTTGTTTCAGTAAAATACCAAGTGCAACCTGGAGTCATCTACACTAGCACAAAAACAGAGGAGTCTTTCTTGTCTGCTTTACAGAGATGTGGTAAGTTGCTTCATATGTGATGGCTAATCAAGTTCCATATTTTGCAAACACAATACTTACTTGTTTAAGGTGCTACAGATGAAGCAAGTAGGGCTGCCACTGTAAAGCTGGTAAAGAGTTCAATATTCAGCTATGAGCAAGCATGGCACAGGTAATGGAAATTGCCATAATGGTGCACTTACGCACACATTCCTGTTACTTTTGCTATTCTCACATACTTATACAAGCAGATATCTATGATCATGTACCTGTAGTTGTAATCATGTGGTTTCCATCCAGGCTCTAGCTAATAGAGTTTATTTTCTTCATTTTTCTACAAAAATCTCTATGTATGTATGTATGTTAGTATGTCAATTGAGTACTTGAGTAGTGATCGTGTTGGTTTTTCATTTGTATGTTTTTACTTTTTATTAGCTTTTACGGTGTGTTATTGTTGATTGCACATTTACTTTGCAACCTTTTATTTTCCTAGTTTAGTGTAATTTCGTAAATTTAGGATTTGTGAGCTTAGGTCATCAATCTACAATAAAGAAGCATGGGAAAGATCAAGGAAGATACAAGAGAACAAGACAAAGTGTTAAATTCCTGATTTGATCATATACCCGGTCGGATATACTCAATACCAGGTCGGGTATACTCAATACCCGGCCTGGTATGATTCGAATCGCAAATCAAATAAGATCAAGACAATTTGACGTGCAAAGACGTGGGAAAATCGGATTTTGTTTTATACCCGATCGAGTATATTGACATACCTGATCAGGTGTGACATGATTTATGAAGCTTCATAGCTACTGTCATGGGTACCCGTCCGGGTATCCTAGATACCCGGATATATATACGACCCAACCTACCTATTTTCCCTATAAAATCGAATTTATAGGTATTTTCCCTATACCCAGATACCCGGAAAATCGGATTTTGTTTTATACCCGATCGAGTATATTGACATACCTGATCAGGTGTGACAAGATTTATGAACCTTCATAGCTACTGTCATGGGTACCCGTCCGGGTATCCTAGATACCCGGATATATATACGACCCAACCTACCTATTTTCCCTATAAAAGCACCTCTTTCCTTCCGGTTATGATATCCATTATTCCTCATACTTAAGCTCTGATAGATAAGTGTTTTTTCATATTTTACTAGTGTGTTTGGACTCCAATGAGGAGCTAAACTTTCCGATCTTGGTTTTGCAATATTGGAGCTTATGATTTGTAAATTGTGAGTTATTTTCTATAATCACCCCCTTTTGAGAATTAATTACTTTCCTAATTATATTTCATATTGATATTTGAGCATTGCTAAGTGATCAGTTAGTGAATGTTTTCAAATTGATTTATTACTAGAATTGATCAACGAATATGTATGTTATTTGCCTTTCCTTTTGTAAGTGTTAACTCTAGATTTCTAATGCATGCCTCTCATGGTTAATAATCTGAAGTGGAATTCATTATATTGATTAAACTGATAAATCGCTTGTGTTAAAATTGTCAATATCAATTGATTTCATCTAAAGATAAAATGATACAATCGGGTCAATATAAGGCGCTTGTTCTATATTGACTAAATCAATGGCGTATCCACTATGGGGGTGTTAGGAATAGTGTATGAAAACTACACGTGTATTTCTTTGTAATACAGTACAACCATATTCTGTTAGGCTGCGGTTATGTTAGCTGATAGTTAGTTGTGACTACAACTTGTATAAATACTCTGTAACAACTCTCTCTCATTAAGATGATTTCTTTTCCATCTTCTACCTAGCTTCTATTCTAGTATGGTATCACAGATCTTATGGGTTTAATTTCTACTCAAAGAACTTCAAGCTCCTTTTATTACTTCCAGAATCTAATGTGAAATTGATCTCTTCTTTGTACGAGAGAAAGTCAAACTTAAACAGCTTGAAGTTTTTCACATTCCAGCTCCTCAACAAGTTGCAGATGTGCTGACCAAGCCTCTATCTGCTTCTACTTTTCTTGAGTTCAGAAACAAACTGAGTGTGATTGATTTTCCAAAGCAATCACCCTCAGTTTGAGGGGTGAATGTTAGGAATAGTGTATGAAAACTACACGTGTATTTCTTTGTAATACATTACAACTATATTCTTTTAGGCTTCGGTTATGTTAGCTGATAGTTGTGACTACAACTTGTATAAATACTCTGTTACAACTCTCTCTCATTAAGATGATTTCATTTCCATCTTCTACCTAGCTTCTATTCTAATAGGGGGCAGTGGGGGCAACTGCCCCCCTTAACCCCAACCCAATCCTATATATATCTAAAATTTTACATGAAATTGCTCTAAATAAGAGTTAAACATATGAAAAATTCTAAAATAGGATTAGAAGTGATTCCCCCCAAAATGTAGGGTGTATGTAATTTTGTTATGTTTAACTTCTATTTAGGTAATTTTCTCAAATTTATCTTTTTTGTTGTTGTTTTTTTTACCTCGAGGGGTTGGGGAGAGGGGGGCTGGACCGCTTCCTCAAATATTATCTACAATTGAATATTAGCACACATGTAATATAAATTGATCTCTTTTATACATCATCATCATCATCATCATTACCCAGTGTCGTAAAGACTCCCACCTATGGTGGCTAAGGGGGGGTCGAGTGTACGCAACCTTACCCCTGTACCAAAGCAGAGAGAGACTATTTTTGGATGATCCAAGGTGAAAATCGCCTTGAAGAATGCATGAACTGACTGCTGCTTCATAACAAAGAAGCGCAGACAGTTTAGTGAGTCATTTTGCTTTTATTCCATCATATTCTCAAGCCAAAAAATAGTGAGTATTTGGCTCTATGCAAATAGTGGAAATAATATTAATAATGTGATTTGCTATTTGTAAAATATGTGACTAAGTTCTAGTATAAGTTTGCCCCCACTCACAAAATTTTCTACGCCACTAGACTAAGTAGTAAGAGTTATTAAGGAACATCTTTCGTTATTAATGACTATTCTAGATGAATTGGAAATCACGACCGAGTCTTTGAGAAGGGATAGTTAAAATAGTAACCGTGATCAACGAGCATTTCAATAAGTGGAAATTAGCAAAACTAAATCTCTATCTCATTGATTTATCACCTTATAATTTGTTCATCTGAGTGTTTTAATATTATTAAGTTCATACAAACTTAAAAACCCCTTTGTTACAATTTCACACAAGAAGAATACATTTCCTTGTGGATACGAGCTCTACTACAATATTAGTGCTAGTATTGAATTACTTTTGGGGCGCACGCAAAGACCTCGAGCTGCCAAGTAAGTAAACTAAAAGGGCCTTCTCCATATTACCGGGATCCTGTACTTGTGCGTCATATGTTAGAATGGATTAAATCCTCACCTTTTGTTAGAGCTCCCTACTTGAAAATATCTCCTTTATTAATATCATCACTATTTTAACATCATCATTCTTGTTGTTGTTGCTGTTTTTCTAATTATTGCTATTATTGTTATTATTTATATTGTTATTATTGTGAACTTTACTATTATTATTATTTTTATCATTATTATTATTACTCATCTATTTTTGTTGTCAGATTGATGTACCTTCAGGTCACAGGGATGGATGGGAGCTTAAATATCAAAGAGAGGATTGCCCTTGTTAGTGAAGTGTTTACGCTCTTGCTAATTACAAGGCATCTGCATTTGGCTTTTTATGTTCTGTCTGTTGTAACCTATTAACATTTGACTTCGTGTAGAAACTAAAATGTACTTCCTCTTTCCTATAAAAGGTTCCCTCTTTGACATGGCACACTCATAAGGATAGTCAAATTGTGTGGGTGAGATTCATGCAAGAGAGAGAAATGATTTGATTCACAATATTCTTTCCTTACAAGGAAAGAAGAAACTTATCTTTGGACGGATGAAAAACGAAAGGGAACCTTTTTTCAGGAATGGAAGGATATCTCTTTTGCCTTTTCTGATTTACGCTGATTTGACATCCTTAAACAAACATCTCAACTGTAGACTGGCAACCCTCTTCCTTTACCCGCACCTGGTGTCCGGAAAGTAGCTACCCAAGGCACCCACTGTGGAGGTAGTATACCAACATATATACATATGATAAAACCTAACATCTAGTCATCTACTAATCAACCCACTACTTAAAATCCCCTAGATCTTAGTAACCAACTAATGAATAGTAATAATAATAGAATAACTTCCTATTGCCATGGTTTTTTATCCAAATAGGTACACAACAGTGTCAATTCCAAGTCGTACCCGTGTCCTACGTTTTTGAGAAATGCTGTTTCTCATACCCTGGCTGTGCTTCATAGCGCACATGATAGTTTTTTTGCAATAAATTAAAAATAAAAATTAAAATCGTTGACTTTTATTATGTTGTAGATTTGACGTAAAGTGATTATCTACTTCATACATAGAAATAGTGTTCTAGTTACTTAATGGACTTGACTAATCCGTGAATGTAAAAGTTCTACATCATCAGGTTGATAAGTTCTTACATTTGACTAAGTACTTTAATGAACTAATATAATATCTAAGTGTGACTGCAACTTTTCTTAAAACTGAAACAAACTATAAATACTTGAGGTGACATTTACTTTTTTCAACTGCTCCAGTACACCTTTCAAATCAACGCCAGTACAGTTTTCATCTACTTCAGGAAACTCAGCCCACTTGCTCTCTAAGATAGTTTTGTGGACGATTTTGATATTTCCATCTCTGTTGTCGTGTGGAGTCCTTATTTTATTTGGTATAAGTTTAACAAATAGCCCAAGACATTATTGATTTGCATGTGATTCTGTTGGCATAACATGAGCTTAATGCACTTTCTGCCTTCTGACACTGTAGCTGAGTTCTATGATGGACATTAGCAGTGATGCTCAAGTGCGCGCAAGTGGAGGGCTTCTCGCCATACTGGAGGATGAAAGGATAGTAGATACCCATGAACAAAATGAATTTGGAAATGCATCAATTGCTATTGACTCCATCGGTGAAATTTCTTTGTATCTTTTACACGATGTTCAATGAAAAAAATTGTGATTCTTTGTGTTCTACACATTTTCCATGATGTTGGCAAAACTATTAGTTGTGTTCCATGACTGTCATGCAAAGAAAAAACTTTCTGAAACTTGATTCAGCTGCCCATGAGGCATTACAGATATTCCAAATAGACAAACATCCTAGCCATATGGGGATTGGCAAAGCAAAAGAGGGGTAAACCTCAGTTTCTATGATGTGCTATTTTTTTGCTTGGAAATTGAAACGCTAGCTGACTAGAAAATTTTCTTTCAGGTTCTCTGTCTTTGGAATGATGAATAAGGTTGACAAAGCTGATTTTTGTTTGCAGTCATTTTATTCTTCTTGTTGCTTGCTACATGAAGAATAACATTAAATATTGTTCCATTTACTTTTTTCAGTGTGTTACACCATTAGGCAGACGTCTTTTGAGGTACAAAGTTGAAAGTTGATACTGCTTGATGCATTTACTAATATATGTGTACTTTAGATGTTCTCCCTAAAATATTTATTTTTACCAGGAACTGGTTTTTGAGGCCCATACTGGATCTTGATGTTTTAAATGCCCGGCTTGATGCTGTATCCTTTGCTTAATTGAAAAGTGTCAATTTTGCTATGGATCTATCCTATTGACTTGTAAGGCTGGATCACGTTGACTTAACCTTTTTTGTGAGATACTGTTGAAATAAGGTTCTTTGCATTTTCCGAACATTGTTTAAAGATTATCCATCAGTTTCTAAAATGTCACACTAATCTGCTACTTTTGCCTACATTTCATTTTTCAGTGTGAGTTTTCCTTAGATGGGTGAAGATATCATTTCTCTTGTATGCCAAAGAACTATCAATTTCCTTGCGTGAAACATTGAAGTCAGTGAAAGATGTTCCCCGCATACTGAAGGTTTGACATATTCTTCCAAGCACCTTTGCCTATAGTAGTTGCTTTCATCCCATATAACCAGTTTGGATGTTGATGTAATGCCCTTATAGTTCATTATCTTGCTCGTCAATTGGAGCAGTTATGTTATCTTATTTACAATGTAAAAGTTTACTTCACTTGCTTATGTTAAATCAAACTATATGCATTAAAGTGTTTGTGGGGACAATGTGACATATAACTAACCATTTCTTCTATTGGTGTTCTGTAATCGTTCTTGCTACACGTACAATCATCTTCTCTATTAGTAAATTTTCTGTGTTTGATAGATATTTTAATTAATCTCTCTCTCTCTCTCTCTCTCTCTCTCTCTCTCTCTCTCTCTCCGCTGGAAGAAATTCAACTCCTCAAGCTCTACATGCATGAATACGGACTGGGCTGCTTTTCTGAAGGTAGATCAATGATTTTGTTGATTGTTTTCTGCTTAAATCATGTTGTTTTTTCTCATTCCACACAGTGCATTTTCAAGGACATGTTATTTTTCATCCAGAGTATTTGCTCACTCTTGCATATCAACAAAATATTTGAAGTGGGCATTTCTGAAGATCTTCGAGATCAGTTGAAGTCTTTGAACATAGGTATTGTTAATAAGGTATTACCTTAAGTAAAATCTTGGGCTACCTTTATTTACCTTATTTAGTTAGTTTGTTAGAGATCCAGCTTTTTGCAGGTTACCGAGGACCTTTCAAGTGATCTGGCTTTTGTTTGTGAACTGGTTAGCTATTTTTCTTTCATCATATTGTTAATGCATGTTGTTATTCACAGAATTTGGAGCAGTTTTCCTTTCACTGTGTGCACAATGTTGAATTTTTAATTGATATAAATCTCTAGGTGCAATTTATAAAGGCTAATACCATGCATGTATAGAGAAATAAAAGGTCAGAACGTATTGGACTGTCATTATGGTTTCTAAGGACATGAATCATGCTACTATCTATACTTTAGTACTCCCTCTTAAGATGGGACATGATTCATATGATCCAAGGTTGACATAAAAACATGAACTTAAACCTTGATAACTTTAAACATGAAACAGAAACCAACTTGACTCTGGAAACTTAAAACTAGACATGGATACATATGAAGAAGCATTGGTTTAGAAGATTAAAGGAGCACTGGTTTGGAATGTAGAAGTTTGAATTGGAACTTATCTCAAAGTTTTGCCTTTGGAGTTTATATCTAGTTGGCAAGAATCTGTTAAGTATGCTATAGCTCTTGCCATTTATCGCTAGCTTTGTTTTTCCTCATACATGAAAGTTATGATATATGGATGACTAGTTCGTAACTACGTCTGTGTTTTTCTGTTGAAATCGTGTAGGTAGTTGGTGTTCTTGATGTAAATAGAAGTAAAGAGAAGGGTTATGAGACGATTGTGAAAGACGGTTTCTGTGATGAGGTGGAACTCTGTTGACTATGCTTATTAGTTGCCTTGTCTTATTCATTTGGTTTACTCTGTTAAGTGTTGACAGTTGGATGAGCTGAGGCAAATATACGAAGGATTGCCTGACTTTCTGGATGAGGTACTTGCCTTTTTATTTGCAGCTAATCTGTTTGACTCCCTCACATGATTTGATAAAGAGTATATCACAGGTTTCGTCAATAGAACGTGCAAGACTCCCTCACATGATGGGAGATAAGGGTGTCCCTTGTATTGTCTATATGCATCAAATAGGTATTTGTACTACCAAATGATCAGTTTGCTTTTGTCTCCTGTGTGTTTGCATAGCTGGTAAGTCCAACATGGGATTTGGGATTTCTGTATAGCTGAATATGATGCCGCTTATTTTCTGACAAAGGAAATATAAGTAATGCCTACCCGTATAGTTGGATAAAAGGAATTAATTATATCTTGAGGAAACAGATTATTTACATGTCATCATTAGTACTGGAAAGGTTGTCTTGGGCCACATACATATTTGCATGAATAAAGTAATAACCACTGCATTTCTATCAATCCCCAAAGCAAACTTCTGGGAAGAAATGAAAATTGCATTATGTACAAGGTCTACAGTCTTGTGACAATGTTGTGCTGTGTTCCATCATGTTGGGCTGAGTTAAATATACAATATGTTTGTTTAACTTCACTACAATTTTTTACACATCTGCTGCTGCTGTGTTTGGAAACAAATTTGTACTTCAATGAACCTTTTTTCTTTGTGATTAGTACACGACCTTGATAACTATAGAAATGCTTTGGCTCACTTGCAGGTTTCTTATTCTGTATTTTCAATAAAAAACTTGATGAAGAGATGCAAGAGAAACCTCCTGATTTTGAGTTTTCCGTATGCCACTATCCAGTATTACTATTTTCTTACTCTGCTGTTATTTATAGAACATTCTTATTTGTCAATGCTGTTGGTTAATTACGTAGTTTTTCGATGAGGATGGAGATAACAAGAAGTTCTTTTACCGCACCTCAAAAACACGAGAGTTGGATACCCTTCTTGGAGATATATACCATAAAATCCTGGGTATGCATTAGTGGATACCTTGGCACTGATTAAATTTTCCAAATGATTATCTCGATTGGCTTTAGATTTATGGCTATTTGTTGAATAACAACTTGAAATCTTGATTTCTCACCAAAAGAGCAAAACTTTGTACTCTTGTATCAGTTCAAATTTGACATAGAATAATTTGTAATATTCAAACAACCTTATTATTGTTCCCTACCATCTATTTTCACACTTGTATTTAGATATGGAGAGAGCAATTACAAGGGACATAGTATCACATGTCCTGCAATTTGTAGTTCCCATCCACAATGCTGTTAATTTTGCAGCTGAGCTTGATTGGTGAGACATTCAATAGTTGTATGTACTTCTGATTTTCTGAGTGAAAGAACAAGTTTTCTTTCATTTATTGTTCTGACATTGTATTGTATTTTCTCTAGCCTCTTATCATTAGCACTGGTTGCTCGTCAAAACAATTATAAAAGGCCGACCTTGACTGCACAAAATTTTCTTGATATACATAACGGAAGGTGAGGCTTGTTCAATTGGATTTGTAATGCATTTTCTTTTTGTACTGTAGCAGCAGTTTCAAATAAGTTTGGACCATTTGAGACACATATAAGATGCCATAAGAAAGCATTTTTTCAGACATCTTTTGCAGGAAATGACAGTTGATACATTCATTCCCAATGATACAAAGATTTCAGATGAAGGTGGTACAGATATCATCCTAGTTTGAGATTTATCCATTATAATCATGCATTCCAGTACACATTACTTGTCATCCTGTTGGTTATACAATTTTCAGGAAGGGTTAATATCATAACAGGGCCTAACTATTCTGGTAAAAGTATCTATGTAAAGCAGGTGAGTTGTGTCTCTGTCTTTATCCTTCGTAGGTTGTATTCATGTGTAATTGATATTCTAATGTGTTAAAAAACTTGTTAGGTCGCTTTAATAGTCTTTCTTTCCCACATTGGAAGTTTTGTACCAGCTGAGGCAGCCACAGTGGGTCTAACTGACAGGTACTGATTTATTTTCCCAATGTTTATTGATCATTTAAATTATTATATATCGTGCGTGCATATTTTCAAACCTAATAGCCAACTGCTCCTCTAAGTACCAATTGATTGTTTTAATTGCGAAATAAAAATAAATAAATTTGAGAAATGAGAATAATTAAAAAAAGGTGTACATTTTGGTTCGTGAAGAACTTTGGATATAGATATGTGTTTATAGAGTAAGGATCATATGAGAATACATCGAATACATCTTAGGAGACAAATGAGAATGATTCTGGAGCGTTGAATTTGGGTATTGTGCATCATGTAAAACATAAATGTTCATATAAAAAATTGAAAAATGTGCATTTTAACTGTGCAAAAGTTTAAACGTAAATGTGCACATTTGAATTTTGCATTACTTTAACTCTATATGTGCATTTTCATGAACAATAAAGTGCATTTGCATCATTTTGGAGCATTCTCATTTCTCATGTTAAGGAGTGTTCTCATCGGAACCGCACCCTGTTTATACACACACACACACACGTTTACGAAAAAGATCTTGTCCAGCCGGAGGGACAGGATCCTCCGTCCGGCCTCCGCCGTTTGGGGCGATTTCCGGTTGACTTTTTTGATGAATTTTTTAGGGAATGTTTCTCACCAAGTCTAGTTTATTCACAAAAAATTTTAGCTAAAAAATCGATCGGGAAGACAATCAAATAAATTTTTGAAAATAACTTCATTTTATACTCCCTCCGTCCCAATATAAAGAGCACATTTGCTTTTTCAAACATTTTTAGGAGGAACACTGTTTGGCACTGTTCGGACACTGTTTTGCACTGTTTTGTTTGCCAAAAAGAGAAATGTGCCTTTTATATTGGGACGACCCAAAAAGAAATATGTGCCATTTATATTTGGACGAAGGGAGTATGTTTAATTTGGCTCAATTATCTTCCAAAAATTATTTGACTGTCTTCCCGATTGAATTTTTAGGTAAATTTTTTTTGTCGATAAACTAGACTTGATGAGAAACATTCCCTAAAAATTTCATCAAAAAAGTCCATCGGGAACCGCCCCAAACGGCGGTGGCCGGACGGAGAATCCTGTCCTTCCGGTTGGACATGATCATTCCTATATATATATATAAAAGATCAGGTGAGAAGTGCCTCTTAAAATGAGAAGTGAGAAGTAATCTCAGCCCTTGGATTTGCATCTGATCTTACAATGCAGTAAACTTATAGACTAAATATAGGAACTTATAACCAATAAATCATAACTTATAAAGCTCTCCATAATAATTACAAAAATGCCACTGCGTCAAATTTTTTTCCAGGTTTCCGTAATTTTTTTGTGGTGGCATTTTCGTAATTATTTTCGAGGGGTCTATAAGTTATGATTTATTGGTTAAAAGTTTCTATATTTAGTCTATAAGTTTAACTTCGCAGTTCTCAGCCTAAGAGCACTTCTCACCTGATCCGCTCCCTATATATATGTGTATATATATATATATTTATATAGGAAAATATTCATGTAAGGTAGGACTAAAAGTTAAAATTTTAGGCCTCTTTCGGTTGAGGGGCTTCTGGGATGAATTTTTTGATGAAATTTTGTGAGAATGTTCTCCCTGAAGTGTATATAATATCTACCAAATTCCAGATTAAAATTTAATCAAGAAGGCATTTAAATAATTTTTTAAAATTGGGCAGTTTTTTATACATATAACATCCAGTTTTTGTCAATAATTTAGTTAACTGACTTACCTATTTTGAGTTGAAATATAGGGAGCGGATCAGGTGAGAAGTGCTCTCAGGTTGAGAATTGTGAAGTTAAACTTATAGACTAAATATAGGAACTTTTGACCAATAAATCATAACTTATAGACCCCTCAAAAATAATTACGAAAATGCCACCGCAAAAATATAATTACGGAAACCTGGAATTTTTTTTACGCGGTGGCATTTTCGTAATTATTATGAAGAGCTTTATAAGTTATGATTTATTGGTTATAAGTTCCTATATTTAGTCTATAAGTTTACTGCATTGTAAGATCAGATGCAAATCCAAGGGCTAAAATTACTTACTTCTCATTTTAAGGGCCACTTCTCACCTGATCCCCCCCCTCTCTCTCTATCTATAATATATATATATATATATATATATATATATAGATTTAGTCTCAAATGAGAACCATGTTTAACGTGAGAAATCCAGTTTTAAGCAAATGTGATGCACTTTAGCATGTATATGTTGCACATTTTCATTTTGACGAATATTTATAAACCTGCCACCACATTTATTTGATATTGACATGTTTTGACCAAAGTTTAAAAAGTGTAATAGGTGCCTCATAGTGCACCAAATTGTGTTAAAAGTGCATGGTTCTCACGTCAATCATGGTTCTCATTAGAACTTCTCCCTATATATATATATATATATAGAGAGAGAGAGAGAGAGAGAGAGAGAGAGAGAAATGATCCTCATAGTGCACCATATATATTTGATATTGACATGTTTTGACCAAAGTTTAAAAAGTGTAATAGGTGCCTCATAGTGCACCAAATTGTGTTAAAAGTGCATGGTTCTCACGTCAATCATGGTTCTCATTAGAACTTCTCCCTATATATATATATATATATATATATATATATATATATATAGAGAGAGAGAGAGAGAGAGAGAGAGAGAGAGAGAGAGAGAGAGAGAGAGAGAGAGAGAGAAATGATCCTGTCCAGCACTCCCCCGTCCAAACACCGTCCGAACACTGCTTTTTGGAGCGGTTCCCAGTGAATTTTTTTGATGAATTTTTTTGAGCATGTTCCTCATCAAGTATTTTTTATCCTAAAAAAATTTCAGCACAAAATTCGATCGGGAAGACATTCAAATCAGTTTTTGAAGTTAACAGCGTTTTTATATTGTGGATAAACTAGACTTGATGAGGAATATGCTCAAAAAATTTCATCAAAAAATTTCACCGGGAACCGCCCCAAACGGCAGTGTTCAGATGGCGTTCGGGCGGGGGAGTGCTGGACAGGATCATTTATCTCTCTCTCTACATATATATATATACACACACACATATATAGGGAGCGGATCGAGTGAGAAGTGTTCTTAGACTGAGAAATGCGAAGTAATTTAAAAAGTTGTAAAAGTTAAACATTTGGCTTTATAAGTTATGTTTAACGTTTTAATAGTTTATTAGGACATACTACCTCCGTCCCGGTGGACTCATAGTTTTGACATTTGATATTGACATGTTTTGACATTTGATATTGACATTTGATATTGACATGTTTTGACCAAAGTTTAAAAAGTGTAATAGGTGCCTCATAGTGCACCAAATTGTGTTAAAAGTGCATGGTTCTCACGTCAATCATGGTTCTCATTAGAACTTCTCCCTATATATATATATATATATATAGAGAGAGAGAGAGAGAGAGAGAGAGAGAGAGAAATGATCCTGTCCAGCACTCCCCCGTCCAAACACCGTCCGAACACTGCTTTTTGGAGCGGTTCCCAGTGAATTTTTTTGATGAATTTTTTTGAGCATGTTCCTCATCAAGTATTTTTTATCCTAAAAAAATTTCAGCACAAAATTCGATCGGGAAGACATTCAAATCAGTTTTTGAAGTTAACAGCGTTTTTATATTGTGGATAAACTAGACTTGATGAGGAATATGCTCAAAAAATTTCATCAAAAAATTTCACCGGGAACCGCCCCAAACGGCAGTGTTCAGATGGCGTTCGGGCGGGGGAGTGCTGGACAGGATCATTTATCTCTCTCTCTACATATATATATATACACACACACATATATAGGGAGCGGATCGAGTGAGAAGTGTTCTTAGACTGAGAAATGCGAAGTAATTTAAAAAGTTGTAAAAGTTAAACATTTGGCTTTATAAGTTATGTTTAACGTTTTAATAGTTTATTAGGACATACTACCTCCGTCCCGGTGGACTTTGCCAAGTGCAAAGTAGGTGAGAAATAAGAATAGTAAAAGTTGTGTGGTTGAAATTTGTGCAGAGGAGAGAGAAATGTGCAGAATCACAAATTAGTTGTTTTAATAGGAAAGTGACAAAGTTTTTTGGGACAACCAAAAAGGGAAAGTTGGCAAAGTCCAATGGGACGGAGGGATTATATGTCTTGGTAAATAAATAATTACTCACTCCGTCCCCCTAAGTTTGCCCCGTTTTACCTTTTTTGTCCGTCCCATTAAGTTTGTCACATATCATATTTGGTAATGATTTTGTGGTTTCAATACATTCTTACTTTATTCAAACTTTATAAATTTAATACCAACCACATAATTCTACTTTTCTTAAAAATCACACCACACCCCTTTGTTCCAAACTTAGGAGGACGTAGGTAGTATCTTTTTGATAAATATTTTTCTGTAAATATTTTTCAACTACTACTAGTGTTTTTCATTGTAATCTCATACTTCCTCAATTTATCACTATAAAATTGTACTTTTGATTTAGAGTTGTTGGATTTATAAGTTATGATTTCTGTTATATAAGTTACCTTATTGTCTCTATTAGTTAAACTTCGCAGTTCTCAGTCTAAGACACACTTCTCACGTGATCATTATTCCTGTCCGGCCGGTCCGGACAGGAGCCCCGTCCGGCCTTCGCCGTTTGGGGCAGTTCTCGGTGGTATTTTTTGCCGAATTTGTTTTGTATATTCTTCCTCAAGTCTAGTTTATCCATACCAAATTTCAGCTAAAAATTCAATCGGAAAGACAGTTAAATGATTTTTGGAAGTTAACTGCGTTTTATATATATATAAAAAGGGCACAGTTAACTTCCAAAAATCATTTGACTGCCTTCCCGATTGAATTTTTAGTTGAAATTTGGTATGGATAAACTAGACTTGAGGAAGAATATACAAAACAAATTCGGCAAAAAATACCACCGAGAACCGCCCCAAAAATACTACCGGGAACCGGACGGCGCTCCGGTCAGGAAATTCCTGACGGGAAGATTACTCTCTATATATATAGTGTGGTTCGTGTAAAAAGGTTGTCCCATGAGAAATGAAAATGATTAAAAATGGTGTACATTCTGGTTCACGTCGGGCACATTGCGTTCTCTAGTTCTTGGCGGTGCACATTATTTCTGTTACAAATAATGCACAGCTCTCAAATCTAACACAATGGATTCATTTTCATTTTTTTCATTAGATCACATTCTTCTCATTGGTTACACATGCACTTCCTATGTCTCTTATTTAGTTGCATCACATTTGAACTTTACGTTTGGCAACACATGATTTTGACCATTAGTATATTGAAATCGTCAACAGTAAATATTATGAAATTTCATATATGAAAGTTTACATCGAGACAAGGGTACCAATATTATTCAGTGTGATTTTTTGACACATTAATAAAATAAAAATGTAGTCTAAGTATAATAACTTAATAGTGCAGAAGTCAAATTGTTGCAATTAGCTAAGAACTGAGGTTGTGTGTGTGTGTGTCTATATATATATTTTACTCCAGGGGGCGCCTGGGAGAGGGGGATGGGGGGCTTGAAGTAATCAGGGTTGAAACTCATTCCATTGAGTTTCGAACCCAAGACCCCCCATAAGGGAGAGTGAGTCGGCAACTAACTGGGTTGGACCGCTTCCTCAATCTACATACATAGACACACACTCTGCAGTCTCTCTTATCAAGTTACACTGACATGTAGCAAACTGAAAATGACAGGATATTTTGTGCAACGGGAAGCAAGTTTATGACTGCTGAACAGTCAACGTTTATGATTGATCTGCATCAAGTGGGAATAATGTTAAGGTATCTGACTGTGCGTACTTATTATTTTTAGTCTAAGGGTTGCTAGTGAACTTTTCTTAAACAGTGTGCCCAAACCTATTGTAGTGAACTTTTAAATATGGAGGGAGTATTATCTAAAGCTATTTTCCCTAAAAAAGCTATTTCCCTAAAAATAATTGACATATTGTACACATAAACATAATTTATGTGTACATAGCAGCCCGTCTAACGGTTTTCTCCTTGATTACTCGTTCCTACTTCATATTATTCGTATACGTGAACATCACTAGGCATGCAACCCCTCATTCCTTGTGCTTATTGGATGAATTTGGAAAGGGCACCCTCGCTGAAGGTTAGTTTCAGTAACACTATTAACGATTTGACTTATGTGCGTGCTTTGTTAGGTTACATTTACTGTATTATAGCTCCTTCAGTTTTGTAAGAAAAATATATTTCTATCTGCAAATATTAACGATTTGACTGGAGCATGTCAACAACCTGGAAAAGGGGAGTAATGCTCATAGTTTTCTACTGGTACACATATCTATCACATGCTTTGTTTCTCATGTCAGATGGCATTGGTGTCCTTGGTGGAGTTATAAATCATTTTGTATCCTGTTATGATCCTCCAAAGGTCTGCTATTCCTCTATCATTTTTTTCACATTCCAACTTCTTCATCTTCATCTTGCCTGCCAAATTCAAGTCATCGCCAAAAAGAATCTTAATCAGAAGCCTCAAATTAATTGCAGGTTCTTGTCTGTACTCATTTGACAGAAGTATTCGATAGTGGATGCTTATTGGAGGTAGGAATGTAGGATCATGCTACAACTTACTGCATGGATTTCAGCTTCTTGGTCGTAACTACATCTCAGGCCTTTTCCCGTCTTTTAAATTTCAGTCCAAAAGGATCAAATATTACACCATGAGTGTGTTAAGTCCAGAAAAAGGTTCTGGTGATCTTGAAGATGTTGTATTCTTGTACAGGTATTATAATTTTGACCATTATGGCCTACACTAACACGACTAGTTAATGCTACATACTACAATTAGTTGGGCATACAATGCTTCATTTGTCTTGTATGATCTTGGCAAGACCATCTATGCATGAAAATGACCCTTCTACGCAATATCTGTAGGCTGATTCCAGGCCGTGCACTTCTTAGCTTTGGTACGTGTCAAAACATTTCGAGCATTAAAACTTGATTGTACCTAGATGTCTTATTATGACTAATAAAATTTCAATTTCATGCAGGATTACACTGTGCACTGCTTGCAGGTACTCTACTCTCCTTCGAACACTTGCACCCGCTTGAGTAAAGTTTTCATACACTATTCCTAACAAGCAATCATAGTACCCAATATTCATGAGATATTGAAGTCATATAATGAAACATTTCACGATGTATATAAGATATTCATATTAGTGAATTATAAAATAGAATACTAATCAATATAGGGGTTGGACCAAGTATAGCTATATATGACTCGAGTTTTTGTGCCTGGCTTATTGGCCAAGCACATTGCTTGTCTCTTGGGAGTTGTCAGATTGGAACAAGGCCTGTAGAGACGACTATCCGATGTCTCCCGACCTCATTAACTCTATCTTACATGGTCCCCTACTTTATATTCCATGATACGTAGTATCCCTTCCCAGATACAATAGCCTTGTGCTTTGGGTCTAGAAGCCCTTCATACCTTCCCACTCCCATGCATTCTCCCCCCAGGCCAGATATGTTTTGCTTTATCCCTGCTCTACCCTTGTATCCTGACTTAGAATATACCACCAATTGTAAAATTATGTAGCTTCACCAATAGATCTGTTCTAGCAATCAGCCTAGGTGGCAGCATGGCACCTCAATTTTAGTCTTTTCTGTCCAAAAGTTGTTCTGGCAACTAGTCAAGCATCTAGAGCATTTTTTTTTAAAGATTACAGCACTACATTAAAATGCATGTAAAACAAGGTACTCGCCGAACCAAGGTAACAAGTCAACAACTATAGTTCTAATTAGGGAAAAATAATTAAAATACCCCAAACATTGAAGGGGTGTTCTAATTATTTTTAAATTACATGCATTTGGGGTGTTTATCTCCCACCCCTTCAAAATTTGAGGTATTTTAATTATTTTTCCCTACTAATTATTATAAACATTTTTTTGTTTGTTTTACATTCATCTAATACCTTTTGCATAATTGCACTAGCCTCGAACTTTGACTTGGAATATACCGCAATGCCTAAATTATGTGCATCAACAATAGGCGACAGTTTAGAATCTACAGTTCAAGTTTAAATTTCTATGTAGCAGGAATACGTTTACATCCTCCAGTACATTACTTTAATCCTCCAGTAAGTTACTTCAATGTTTTAAATAAAATCAGGAATACCCCAAGAAGTTGTTAAGCGAGCAGTGGCTATTTTGGATGCTCTGAAAAATGACCGGCATATTGAGCGGCTGCAAAGTGAGAATGTATTGGTTCGTGACCAGCATTATAAGGTCAATATATGAAGTATTTTATGACCAATCAATTTATCCTATGAAACTTGGAACCAAACTTATATGCAGTCAAATGCAGGACGCAGTGGAGAAGTTGTTAGCCTTTGATGCAATGAATGGAGACATGCGCCAGTTCTTTGAAAACATTCTTCCTTCATAGTTTCAACAATCCTCGCATTACATTAGTGTCTCATACTCTCATCTCCTTGCATGCAAAACCTGTCGAAGTGTAGATAAATATTTGATAGAATGTTAGATGAGGGCTTTCCTAAAATACTATTGAAATAAAATTATGGATAAAAATGTAACGTAATTTACTATGAGTATACCTTCATGGTTATTGCTGTCTAGAATTAAATATAATCACACCCACAAATAGGGATGAGCACAGGTCCACGTTGGACCGGATCGGACTGGAACCGGAATTTTAAAAAAACGTGGACCGAAGACCAGACCTATATAATTCGGGTCCAAGACTGGATTGGATTTTTCTGGTTTTCGCGGTCCGGACCGGTATTGGACTGGTTTTTTAATTTCACTAATTTTGCAATTTTTTTCTTTTAAAAAAATAGTTTTGATTATCCAAAAATTTACTTATTAGCTCGTTTTCTCTAGTATGTGATTATTTCTAGTATGTGATTATTTCTAATTTATTCTTTTATATGTATGATTTGCATTTATGTCTCTTTTAATCAGTATAATATACATTATAATACATCAAATAAGTAGAAATAAACACACGAATTTAGTAATGTTCAATTTTGACTCCATAAATTTTGTGCATGACCATATTAGTATGGGAAATTAATGTTCAATATTCGATTAATTTAGTGAATGATTTGACTCAATATCTTTGCGTATTTAACAAAGAAGAATTCAATTAATCACACTATGTATTATGGTTAAAACAAGTAAAAATAAGTAAATACAATGCATCATTCTAACTCTTGATGCTTTTATGCTACAAAATTTTACTAGTGTAAATATGTAAATAATGTCTAGGGTATGTAACTTCAGTTAATGTGTATGGTATTGTAACACTTAATTAATGTACTTTTTAAGTAAATTAATTAATGTACTATGTGTTTGTGTGTATAAATTTAATAAATTGTGGTATATAAATGTGTATAAAAGTGTGTGCGTGTGTTTATATTTATATACTACGTATATAATAATTTAATTCCGGTCTAACCGGTCCAGACTCCATACTAGAATATTCCAGGTTTTGGACCGGACAGGAATCGGAATTAGTAAAACCCTTGAACCGAAAACCGGCCTGGAATATATTTGGTACGGATCCGGTCTGGATTGACCAGTTCGGTTCGGTCCAATTTTCCGGTTCGGACTAGATTATGCCTAGTCCTACCCACAAACAGTGACTATTTTAGTCACTATGTATAAAAAGATACGATTTTGTCCATTATTCTTATTTTAGTCATATACCAGTCATTATTTTATATACAATGTCTTGCGAGTGTTGAGCTGTAACACCCCCATTTTCCCTCCCAAAATAATACTTGAAATAATAGATTTATTGATAATAAACTTGATTTATTCTTTCAAAACAGATAAAAAGTTTTGCAGCGGAAATAACACTAATTGGGAAATGGGTGTTACCGCCACATCCGGTCATCTCTTAACCGAATGCACAGGCAATCACAAAACTGAACAAAGTAAAACAAGTGTTCAACATAATTAAATTATAATTCTTGACTAGGTTTGACTAAGGCATCTCTAAACCGCTCTCGGGAATCAAGCAATCATCAGTCAACATAAGCATCATCACCTGCACAAATAAAGTGCAGAAGACAAAACAAAGGAAAGAAAACAAAAATTAGCTTTAGAGCTAAGTAAGTACTACCCAACCCCGTAAAATAATCAGGTTTGGCGAAAAATAGTTTTTCATATAATACTATATAAAAATGACACACTCCACCAAAATTCTTTTCTCTTTGATATTACTCAAAATCACTTCTTTAATAAAGTCCTCAACTTTTCTTTGAAAATACTATAGTAACTCTTCTCTTATAATTTCTCAAAATTCACTTCTTCTCTATCTTCCTAGTAATTTAGAAGGGCGGTGCTCAACACTCTGGTTGAGCCCGGTGGTTACGTTGTTATGTACGGCCACCCCGGGACTTTTGCCGGTACCACAACTGCTAATGGAAACGAAACGACTACCTTAAGTGTGCACACCCCCTAAAAGGGATTCCAAGCCCTCCGAGTAGTAAGTCGTCACGAGTAATCGGGACTCAGTCTACCAACTACCCCACCTTTAAAATTCTTGGATGATTAGGGACTACTACTACTATAACTTCTTCTTAAAAGGGATCATAGATCCAAATGTCACTTCAAACTCAAACTGTACTTCTTAGTAGTAGCAGCCTTAATCACCCTCCACATTTATCCGGATGTGGAAAACCGACACCACGGATCTCTCCCGGGTGCTCACCTCTTATGAAATCCTTAATTTTATCTTGAATTAAGTATACTTCAAAAATATTTCTCAATCTCTCTAAATAGTCTCAAAAGTATCTAAAAATATTTAATACCCAAAAGAACTTCGTTTGCACTTCAAAAATACCATAAATCTAATATCTCCTCAAAATCACATACACATAATTCAAAATTCACTCTTTATCACAAAATGCATAATAAGCATATAATACGAGGAAATCATTTTGGATCGGCAGAGAAACTTACCTGATCAGTCCTGGTAAATCCTATTTGAAGCGTTTAACTTGATCTTCGAAATCACCTTCTAGAATATTAAAATTCTACCATCAATAATTATTCTAATCCTTTACTAGCCCCTTTCCAGTTCCATTTTCATATATCTTTATCTCACAATTCTCCCTACTCGGCTAAATCAATTAGTTAAATAATCTTTAATCTGTTTGTTTATTAGTCCACAATAGTCCTTTCTATTTTAATTTAATCTATTCTGTAAATTAATCCGTTTCATTTTCAAACTCGTTTATAATTATTTGTCCATTAATTTTATCTATTTCATTAACCGTCCTATTAAAATATATATATTTAATCCATTAGCCCGTCGTGTACAGTTTAGTTTTCTTAATTAAAAATTAAGAAATTGATCTTAATAGGACTAAAACATACTCAAAATTCCATAATAGGACTGCATGTTTTAAATTTCCTAAATAGGACCGCCGATTACCATTCTACCCTTCACATCCATCTGCACTTCATCGGTTTTCACTCGATCGGCTGCAAAAATTCATCGCAGCAGGCAACCGCTTCACACATGCGCAAATCCTTTCCTCCCATGGACTGCAGCTCCATTACCGACTATGGCCTTGCACCTTCGCCGTCAATTGTAGGTGATTTCCTCATCCTCCTATTCTTTTTCTTTCTTCTTTCTTCCTCTTCCCCTGGTGCACTTCTCCCCCCTCATGCACTCTGTTTTCTGTTTTTTTTTCTTCTATTCATCTACTACCTTTTTAAATTCTAAATAAGTTTTTGGATATTATGTATTGATTTGGATTGTTTTGGATTTGAATTTTATTTTTTCAGAAAAAAGCCACTTTCATAATCTGAGAATGTCAAAAGTATTGGTTATTTGAAAAAATGTCACGTTTGTGATAGTACATTGTATGAGAATAGCAATTTGAGAATGTCACATGTAAATAAGAAAATGTCATTAACATGTCATTATTCATATCAAGTGGCATAAAGTTAGTAAGAAAATGCCATTAACATGTAAAAGTTAAAGTTCAGTAAGAAAATGTCATCTTTATAAAGTTAGTTGCATAAAACTGACATTGTTTTGTGAAACGGATAAAAATATGACATTCTAGAGTTTTATAGTTTCAAAATGATATTGTCATCTTAATAGGTGCAATGCCATAAAAGTGACATTTTTTCTAAGTATTATTATTTTCATTTCATTCCTAAATTCAAGATTAATCAAAATCAATAAATAAGATTCAAAATCAAAGAAGAAGAAAACAGAGGACATTGAAGAAGATGAGAAGAAGGAGAAGGAGAAGAAGAGGAGGAAGAAGTGAAGAATAATGAAGTGCTATTTGAAATAGGGAGCTACTTCCTCCTGCATGACTGCATCTAATGGTGACAAATTCTTGAGCAGACATTTTTTGGATGGCAGTAAAGAAGCTTCATAGACCAAGATTAAGATGGGAGCAAAGCTTGGCCGAAGAATTCAACGGGGCTAGAGTCTTCTCAAGAGCGCACGCCTGGGAGAGCCTGGGAGAGTTAGTTTTATTTCATTAAGGGTAGTTTTGTCGGATTACCTCTTTTTAGTCCTATTTTTGTTAAATAAAACATAGTAGTCTTATTTTTGCAATTCTACCTTCTTTTAGTCCTATTTAGGTAAATCTCTCTTAAAAATTTACTAAAGTTGATCCTAACAATTAATCTAACTTAATTACGTAGTATATCATAATACTCATAGTCCAATTTAAGAATCAAGATATGCATGCGTAGTAGAACAGCAGTAGTATAGTGTACTATACATACGTATTCTTCACTGCCGCAGGTAACGGCGACGGTACAGTAGCTTCTTTCCACCGGCAACCCTTGCAGCGGCTTCGGCGGTAGGCAGCAGCGTCCTGGTGAATCCTCCCCTTTTCCGGCGTCGTTGTAATCTTCTCCGACGTCTGGCGGATTCCGTTCACTTCCAGCAGCAGTTTTCCAAACACCAGGTGGTTCGTTGACCCTCCGTCGATGCAGCGAGGTTTGGTCAACATGATCCCGTCCAGTAGTTCTCCCAATTCCGGCGGCGAAGCCACAGCCCCACGGCACCCTTCTTTTCCTTCTAACGACCACATCTGAACCCTCCCCTACTCCGGCTGAATGATTATGATTGGGTTGTTTAAAAGCTAGTTTAATTAGTTTTCCTTGATGTAGAATCAATTTATGTATGTATATATACGTATGGTACTATGATGTATAATTATTGATGCCGAGTTTCTCATCCCCGATCCCTCGGTCCTCTATATACTCCTTGTAGGAAAAAGTTCAACTTGAATGCTAGCTATGAAAATTTGGCATCATCCTATCAACTCAACTTTGACATGAGCATGTGGATCCATATGGTAGCCATTGGTTTGATATCTCATTATTGTACTATGCAAATATTAATTAATATGGCCGGCAGATTTATACATCTTTGTATGTATATTACTGAGTTGATGTATCATGTCTTTAATTTGTGAGTATATGGCTGAGTTGATACATAGTAGTAGTGGATTTGAATTATATCTCAATTATTATATGGAGGAATTGTATCTCAATTATTGTTACAAAAATGTCACTTTTGCTATTTGAATCAAGGACTGGCTCCTATCTGCTCAACGTAATTATTATAAAAATGTCATTTTTATTATTGAAA